ATTAGTATAGACCATAGGAAAATTTTCTGTATGTACTCAGAAAGCTCCATCACTCAGGAAATTGAATAGCCATGAGCACTGTTTCTAGGTAAATCTTACTTAATGTTTTCCTAATTAGAATCAATAGAACCCAATTTTCATTCCCATGCCTTTGTTATGCACAAACTATCAGTCAGGGTCCAGAAAATCTCCCAGGCTACTTCCACACAAAACAGATTCAACTGTTTCAAGTCTTAACACTTATCTAGCAGGATCTGAAAATTAAGTTTTATAAATGTTTCTTACAAAACTGTTTGTAATTGGACAAGCTAAGGAAAATTAAGGGAGGCACTTAGATAATGAATAATGATTTATAAGGAGGTTAGTTTATCTCAGACAAATGGTGCTTACAGAAATTGGTGTAGTTATCGTCTTAAAGGTAATGTAATGCACTACTTTGCAGTAATCTTGGGTTTACACAAAGATTCTTGTGTTTCAGTTGATATGAACCTCTGCTCATATGAAAGGGTTTGGGGTTGGATTTTTTTTTTTTTTCCTCCTGTTCGGTCTTGGCTTTTTTGGTATGCTGGCTATCAGCATTTCTACTCAATGACAATATCAAGTAAATGAAAAACTGACAATTTGTGCACCCAGGAAAACTAAACCTCTAATGAAATTAAGCATTAGAGTTTATTAAATTTTATTGTATTATCAGAAAGTTTTTATTATAATGTGCAAAATCTGCTTAGTGCAGCCCTAGATTGTATTTACAGAACAGTGGGACAGCTTATGGAGGCTGAGTAGAAGATGCCAGATTGGACAATTGAAGGAATATAATCAGCATAATGTTTTTTGGAAAGGCAAAAGGAAACTATGCCATATGTTCACTTAAGCCTTAATTTTATGTAAAACTGGCTGTTTTTTCTTTGACACAGCTAAAATGCCCTTTCACTTACAGTTCAAAGACTGTTTATTTGCTCTCCAGATCCCCATATGCTCAAGCGTATTGTACACCGCACTGTCCCCTACTGGGGAACATGAACGGAAACAAATTCCACTTTCCATACCACATACAGACAGGTATTTTCAAGAGCCTAAAACCGACACGTGTGCTGTCAGAGGCATAGGCGCAGAGGCAAATGGGAGACAACAAGGAGTTTAGTCTCCTTATTTCTCTGGCTGATTTCTCTGTTTTAAGAGCAAATTAACCTTCTCGGCAGGAGCAACTGGATGTATGTATTCTCATTTGAATTCGGAAGAGTTGACAACACTTTATACAGCGTGTATGCCTTTGCAGGGTAATACACTAGCCTCTTGCACTACAGCTATAATGCTATTAAATTTACTTCATGGAATTAGTACAGTCGCTGCTTGAGTTTATATAAGCTGCAAAGCAAAACCCCTAACTATTTTTAGTTAATCGCAAAGAGGATGGAACTTGTATTTTAGCAGTGAGATGATCATCTCTCTCTCTCTCTCTCTCTCTCTCTCTCTCAATTTCAGCCTGGTGAGATACAATCAAGGACATTATTAAAACATAACAAAACAAAGCAAAAAAAAATCCATGAGGGTACTAGAGCTCAAACTACCAAGCTATGCTTGTTATTAGTGTGGCATATTGCTGTTTTAATCTAATGCTAGGTAGTGTATTAATCTATAGGTATAAATTAATGAGGCTCTTAATGTATTTTCATTGGGAGGTTGAGCAGTCAAATTCATTTAGTTAGTGAAAACTACAGAAATCGCTTTCTTGTGAAATCCGAAACTAGAAGCTTCAATGAACTAATGATCACAGTATGAACCATTTTATGTACCACTGAAAATAAAGATAACCTGTAAATGTAAAATTTGCACTGCATAAACCATGCTTTTATACACTTCCACCTGTAAAAATATTCTTTGTTCAACCCCACTTGAGAAAGATGAGCATATTTAAAACAAAATATGTTAACAGCTAAATGGTACAGTGTTCATGATAATGTGTCCATGGTAATATCTTCTGACCAAACCCTTGTCCCAGTCAGAAGGAGCTCAGCAAGCAGGGCTAGGAGCCATTACATTGTATTCAAAGAGAAATTTTGCATATCTGGTGTACTCACATGGCTTTTTTGCTGGCTGAACTAGCTGAGGGTTCAGGTATGGGCTATTCTCTGCATCTATTCTGCGCTTGTACTTCTGGCGACCTCCACGTACCCTGTCTAGGCGGACACCTATGGTGGGAAAAATAAGCAAACATGTAATTAAATATATTACGTGGATGCCTTTCAGGTAATAATTTTCTATCTCCTGCCTTCCAATATTTATTTAAAATGCATGTTTATTTCAAAAGATTAATTTTAGAAAGCAAGGAAAAGCAGCACTACAAGTATTTGCAAGCTGTTTAGGTTTTCACACATGCAAGACTAAGTATACAACATAATTTCCTGTTCGTTTAAAACCATTTGTGCATTTTTACATATTATTTAGAGCAGCTAACAAGTTTAGTCTCTATAAGTCTGATCTTAAGTTGTCTTTGCCAGATGCAGAAATCTGAAGCTATAATAAACACCATGGATATACAAGGCTAACATTATGAGTAGAGAAGTACAGAGAATTAGAACTTTAGAAATAATTAGTGCTGTATACAGTTTAGATAGTCAAAACCAATGCTTTTAATTAACATGAATTAACATGGCCAGAGGATGCAAAGTAAGTATCCTTAGTAAAATAAGAACATATATGTGGTTTAAAGACCTGAAATGGTTCATGAGGGTTTGAAAGAAATCGTATGGCTGTCCATTTAGATGTCATCAACAATGAATTAACATTTGTGTTCTACCTTCATATTATCATTGCTTCAATAAAGCACTCTGCTACCTGTTTTGAACAGATATATAGGAATTTACCTTCCTGAAACAAGCTATAGCTGCTCTCACAGACAAAATGAAAAAAGGAGGGGGGAAAAGAGATAGTAAGTCTGGGGGAAAAAAAAGATGGTAGGTGCTACAAAACAATTTCTTTCTGAGTCACGCAGGCAGATTTCCATACAACCAGGACAGATGTCAGTATAACCAAGCAGTAACACAACAGGGAAGTTGAAAAACTCAGCACATATGCAGGGCAACAGCACAAGTAATACCAAGTGCAAAGTTTGTCCCTGATGACATGGATTTAACTAGACAAGAATGCAAGGACACATTATGTATCAACGACCCCTGTGAGCAACAAGGTAAACTGCAGCTCACTTTCTCACTTTTCATTGTCTATTTTAGCTCTCCCCCCCCCCTCTATTTATCTTTTCTATCACCATTATTGTGCCCTACTCTCTACTTCCCATCTCCCTGATCTCTCCCTCACAGGAAATACCTCCAGAACTGGCTTCTGCACAGCAGAGAAGCCACCACCAAGGAAATTACAGTTTATGTGCACAGGAAGAAGAATACAGCAGGTTTACATACTGCCCATGAACCTGCACAGCCTAGTGTCCAGGAAACATCTGTCAGTCCTCTTTCATGCTCAAAACCCAAAGATGATGGACTGGATTTTGGTGGACAAAAGCTATTCTGCCAGCTAGCTAGCAGAAATCCAAGGCCAACTCTTGCCGGTTTGTTTTTGTTTCTTCTTTTATATATGTATTTTTTTTTCTTTTCCTGCTCCACCTTCTCCTCTCCAAGCTGGCCTGAAGCTAACGCACCAGAACACTCACTAGCTGACCCAAGAAGACAGCAGTTTACAGATCCAATTCTGTGCTCCTCTACCAGCAGGGAAGGCTTTGCATGCATGGGGTTCTCATTTGCCCAGACAGACTGTTGGGATCTAGAAAGCTCAGTAACACGGGAGATACTTGGCTTATGGACACAACCGGTGTCTGTAACTATAATGCAGTGAATTGTACACAGCAGTGCTAAATAGTTTTTGCTCACCAGGAAAGTGGGTAATGATCACCTTTATTTAATAGTGAAATTTTTACTGCAGAAGACTCTGTATTTCACTCCCTCAAACTTAAGTACATTTCTCACTGTATGTTACCAACTATATTTTTTATTAATCACTTTATATAAATAATAAAACAAATCAACTACATACCCAAACAGGTCAGTGTACAATTACGAATGAATTCTTACATGTGGTATTTACCTATTTCACTACTGAACTTGTGACCTATTTGTGGTCTAAGCTACCTTATAAAATTCATAGCGAACCAATCATCAAAGCATAGTTATTCTGTTTGTTTTTAAAGTTACAGTTAGAAAGGCATGAACTACAACACCACTTTAAAAAATGATAGTCAAGAGCTTTTCAGAGCTAATGATAACACAGTGTTCTCCACCCTCAAACTGGGAGTTCAAGCCACACCTGAAGCAAATGACACCCAGGACAATACGTTGACATAAAACAAACAGCAAAAGATCAAGGTTTGACAGTTGAATATTCAGAAATAAGCACAGGATTAGAACAAGTCACATGTGATATTGGTATGATTACGAAAAAGACTGCCCAGCATTTGAAGAAAAATAGATAGAAAATGATTTCTGCATAATTCAGATGCCATTCTTCTTTCTGCTTGGGAGCAGATTTCATAGTGATAGAAGATGGATAGCATCAGATAGAAGTATGTTTAATCAAAAAGTAATGGAACTGAAGCTCAAATTAAAATAATATAAATCTACCAAGATGAACAATTTTTTTACCTCCTTTGCATTTGCCAAGATACACATTCAAGCCATTCCCGTTCTCAATGGACGGAAATACAGATGAATGTCACAATGGCAAAATTATGCATAGATCCATATACTCATCACCTATTATACATAGCTATATCTATAAATATAGCTACTTTCTTTTTTAAAACCTAGAAATTATAATTCTAAATAACTGGGGACTAACAGTATTACACATTTTAAAATTACCTAAATCTATACGATAACTAATTCCAATTCTAATCTGAAAATATTTTTGATCGCATAATACCAACAGAATATAAATTAGAGGTTTATAACACTTTCATTAAGTTTGTGTTTACCACAATTTTAGCTCCTAAGCTTCCCTTGCTTCTAGTACCATTATAAAGTAGCTATTTTAGAACCAATTTCTGATAATCTAACACACCCTAAGTGGTATTCTAATTGCCAAGAGTCTTTATGGAAGTAAACACAGTGCAAGACACCACTTAAGAGAGTACACCCATCTGATATTCCATAAAAACTTGGGAGTTTGGCAGGTAGCCAGCTGAAATCCATGTGTATATGCATGCACTTTCTCCTGTAACTCCTATAGCTTCCATGACAGAACTCATTACGTAAAGATATTTTTATTTGCTCTCAAGGCAGTTAACAGGCAATGCCTTCTTTGACAGAAAAACAAAGGGAAGAAAGAAAAACAATTTTGTCCACAAAGATCTTCATTTGCGGTGGGAGGGGCTTAACATCTTGATCACAGACGTAATTGCTGTAATTCAACACCTACTCTGTACTCAGACTATTAAAGAGGATATTGTGGCATATGGCTACAGTTCAGGGAGAAGTTAAGTAGACCTCTACTTTAACTCTGCTGTGCATGTGGCTTGCCAGAGTCTTCATCAACTCTGTTCACTCACCCTTCCAGTCCTCAACCACAAAGTGACAAGAAAGACATCCACCCCACCTACATAAACTCATGGCACATTTCTGAATGAATTGCACTGTACGTATTATCATTACAGTCTTTTAGGGTCAAAACATCCTTAATTAATGTCACTGAACAAAGCTCCACTGAAGACAAACAAGTTGATTCTCTGCACTCCCCAACACTGAGTTTCAGTTTAAAATCCTTCAACAGAAAAACAAAAGCAAAAGCTGAAATGAGAAAAACAGGGATGACCACAGAACGTCTTATTTGGTACAAATTAGAAAGAACAGGCCTGCTACCAATTATGATATAATTTCAACAGCCAAGTGCAAAATTCCCTTTACACCTTAGGGCAAGTACAACTCATGAGCTCATCTGTTCAGGAGTGATGGGCAGACACATTTTGACATAATTTACAAAGTTCAGAAGATAAGGATTAGAGTAGAACTGTAATATAGGGTTATATATTATATAGTTACTATACAAGCTTCTACAAAAAGTGTTCACCTCCTGGTTCCTCACACCATCTTTCCATGACTTTCTATCAATGCTTACCAACACACAACAAAAAAATATTGGGCACTTACTCTAAAGTGAAAGTGCCCACTTAGTCTTGCAGAGAGGTAACTGAAGACTAGAGCTGATGTATGCAATGAGCTACCCACCAGGTACTTCAATCTAAACAAACTTAACACAGGCAAACCTCAACTCTTCATTTTCTCTGTATTTCCTCATCCATTCCTCCCTCACCAACAAATTATTATTCCTTTTCTGTAGTCCTTTTCTCATGCTGCCTTGAACCCGTTGCGTGGACAAGGTACCCCACTGTGACTGGTGCTATATAATCAAAAAGATTGCCCTTAGCTCTGTATATCATTCTTTTTGCAATTCAGGTCCTCAGTATGAAAATTGTATTTAACAGTGTCATCTACTTTTCCATACAGATCTAAGCCATATCCAAAGTATATTCCTTTATAATCTACCTCTCTTCCTTTTTTTCCATCCCCTCCTTCCTACCTCAGCTACAAGTCTCCAGTGTTCATTTGTCCACTGGTCCCACAAACATTCTTCTCCTTTTCATGAAGCTCTATACCTACAGGAAAACCTCAGGCTAACTTGGAAGGCATTAGTCCAGTCCTTCAAATTAACACCTACCAACAATACCAGGACTACCTATAAGAAATTGCTTACTACATGTAATTGGGGATAGCTTTTTATTTTGGAAAAAAATTAATCTAACTAACTTAAATATGAACCAGTATCTGAATAAATCAAAACTCCCTCTCTCCCTTCCAGTACATCAGTAAAGAACAGCTTTGGGATCAGAACCAAACCCACAATTTTGACTTCCTATGGAAATTTCAAATTCTGCTCCCTTTCCATCCCCCCTACATGAGAGATTGATCTCAAGAAGTCACATTCTACATGAACACTGTTCTGGCAAGCTCCACCTCTAACACAGCACTCTAGATATATTAAATGTATTCCTATCTCAATTTTTAAGATATATAACTGGGTAACGATCCATTTTTTACAAATGTCTGTAAGATTCCCAGCACTGTCTTAAATTTTACAGTGAGACCAGTAAGAATGGATATCCATATAACTGCATCTCCCCAAGCTT